TAACCCCATGCCCAACCCTTCTCTTTTATCCGGGCTTGGGACCGACAGTAGCTTCAGAGGGGCTCCAGGCGGAGAAATGGAGATATCCTTTAGAAAAATGGACAAAAATTGGATAGAACTAGGAGGGAAGGCTCAAGACAGAGTGGGTTGGAGAATATTGGTCAACGGCCTAGGCTCCATTGGGAGTGAACAGACGTAAGCAAGTAAGGTTTGAAAAAGCATAATTATTTATTTTTCACCAAATACATTAGAAAATATTGTTCAAGTCAGGGTGAGATAATGTTAATGCAGATTTATATCATTTACATGAAATAAGAGAAGGAGTTTTGTGGACATTACGGTAATTCTAATAGTTGAGATCATGAGTCAATTGAAGCTAAACCACCATAAAAAACCTGGAAGCACTGGACGGCCACAGTAGAAGGAAACAGCCATCAGTCTTTCCAGGTTTTTCATGGTGGTTTACCTTCAGTTGACTCATGGTCTCAACTATTAAAATTTACAAAAAGATGATATAACGAGATTGAACAAAAATAAATTCCAGTAATAGCGAAAACGAGAAAAAAACAAATCATGGTCTGTCATTCCAACAATTAAGATGGTGGTTGGAGGTAGTCAACAGGAAGACCTGGTCAATAGGTCTTGTGCTATTTGAAACTCCTCAACAAGGTGGTCGAAAGCAATGGATCTACACTAAGAAGGACCTGACAAATATGACATTGATCACCACCTAATGATGAATCAATTTTAATTACAAAAATTAAAATTTTTGAACTTTCTACGAATATTTTCTTGTTCTTTTGATACCAACTTATGCATTTTTGGCAAATTTGATTTTCTTGGCTTAATGGGACGTGATAACTTAAATTACATTTAATTACATATAAAAGCCTTTCATTAAAAACATAATTACTTTGCATTCACTTATATCTGAAAAGTTTTGCTTCTGTAAAAAAACGGAATGAAAATGTCCGAAATATAAAGTGACTTTACTTCTGATGCATTTTTTGTTCCTTTTATATATTCGACGAAAATTAACATCTATGGGAACGGTGACAATTGCATGAAAATGTTTGTTTGTTTTTCCTTTTTTACAGTCTTTCTAACTTTTTAGAATTTTAAGACTACATTTATATCAATAAGATCTAAGATCTTCGGTAATAAGGTAATTTCAATGGTTGAAATCATGTACAATTGAAGCTAGAACACCATGGAAAACCTGGAAGCACTGGACGGCCGTTTAGAATCTCGCGGTGCGTGATCATGGATGCGCACTGCTGAGGAGTCCCACAATAGGACGAAACGGCCGTCCAGTGCTTCCAGGTTTTCCATGGTGTTCTAGCTTCAATTGACTCATGATTTCAACTATTGAAATCACTAAAATCTCCACAAAGCCCCTTCTGATAATTAAGCAACTGTTCAATTTCTTATTAACCATACAGATATGCGTCGATTTATATCTATAATGCGTTTCTTATTATTAACTTATAATGATGTTTTCTATTTCTTTTCGTCAAAGTAATATTATTTTACACCAATAAATCCACAAGAACTCACAAGCATCTATTGTGTATAATAGGACATTTACAACTGAATAGTCTCTTTAAAAAAATTGTAAATGATAAGCAAAGATCGATGGCAGTTAACAATGGAATCAAGAACGTGAGTTTTGTCCCACTTAGAACACGTCGAATGCATGTGGTTGCATCTCGGAGTTGGTATTCACCACCAGATGCCAATAAGAAACTGATCAATAACATTCGTAAACTTCAGTGGGACGATTCAAACAAGCAATATAAAAATGGATTGATTGTAAATGATGTCTGTAGTAAATTGTTTGTTTAATCAATGGTATTTTAAACATTGTTTTTTTTTTAAATTTTATATGGTAATATTTTAACATAATCAATTTGCTATATTTAGTCCAGATCCAAAAGTTGCTTGTTCTTGCAATTTGCTTCTAGTAACATTTTTCTACTCAATTCTTTCTATTATTACTACTTATTAATTGGTGCTTACTTATATGAAAAACAGAAATATAATATGGTTATTTAATAGTTGAATTGAGTCAATTATAACTAGACCACGATGGAAAACCTATAAGTACTTGATAGCCGTGTCGTCGTAGAATGGAGCTCTTCAGCAGTGGGCATCCATGATCCTGCTCGCAGAACCACAACGGTGGATAGTGGTGCAATTTTGTGAACTGGTTGAAGTTAGACATTCACACTGGTTGGATGCTGGACGGCTCAGTGGTGTGGTGGTTAAGCGTTCGTGGGTGAGACTGATAGGTCCTGGTTCGAATTCATCGGGGTGTATTCGTGGAAGCGCACTGCTGAAGAGTCTTACAGTTGGACGAGAGGGTCGTCTAATGCTCATAAGTTTTCCATGGTGGTCTAGCTTTAATTAACTCAGGAGTTCAACTATTAAACTACTACAAGAAAACGTAATCATAATTTCATCGATCTTATGAAAACACTTTACTATAAATTAAATCACACTGACATCGAAATAACAGTTATTCGTATTAAACACTTGATTACCTGAATATTTTGTACTTTATATAAAAGCATACTTGAACTTTTGTGGAAGATAATAATAAATACAAGAACTAACAAATAAATAGATGAATCCATAAATAGCTATAAACTTTCAGTTTAGGACATTCAAAGTAATATCAATTTACACAATCAACTATTTTATGGAATCATACACATTTAGTTGGATGTATGAATTTCAAATGAATACTATTCTTATCTCTTTGTATCTCTTGACTCTCGTTATAGTTTTATATACATAGTTAGAACTAGGTAGTTTACGGAATATTGTTTGATTAGCACATGTTTTTATTAACCGATTACTAATATTGTGTATTTGATTAAGATTAGTCTGTAAGTCTGTGTCCATTCTCAGATGATGCCTAAAAGTCAGTAGCAAAGCGTTAGTTCAGAAAAACATATATGCCAGAAGACACTGATCAAAATAATGCGCTGAATATTAATAACGGTTGGTTGTACAAACAAAACAAAGAAGTAAACAATAATAGGTTTAAGGTCAACAAGAACCAATCAACATCTTGGTTTACAGGACAAACTGTGAACGACATGTAGAGAAGTTCGAACGCTTCACTTCTATCTGAAGTTTGTGCTGATGATGTCGTTCAGGATAAAGACGAAAGCTCCACAACAAAACCATCCACCTCAGAGAACAAACTCCATCAAAATCATCCACCTGAGCTACAATTCTTCTCCACATTAATAATTGTCTGCTAGTTGACCATTTGGTAACTATTTAGCCTCATAATCTTAAACGATGATTCATTGTAATTTGAAGAAATTGATTTGAGTTTGAAAATTCACAATAGAATGCATTTGTCCCATACATGAATCAAAATCGGATATATGATTTCAGGAATGGCAGTAAGATCTAACAACTTGTAGCTAAATTCATAGACTGAGTCCAGTTGAATGATATACTTAAGGTAAGATAAGTACCATTAATGATAATGGATGAGCATTGCATAATTAACTAAAACGTAAGTTTTTTGATGTCAAATTATTGTCTGAACCTTAAACTCACTCCAAAAGACTTAAAGCTCTTGAGTTCGATTTCTGGTTGGGTTGTCAATGGTCATTTCTAAACGTTTATTCAAATTAATTATGAATTTAATTGATTAATTTTGTTTGTTTGTTTTCATTTGTATCAAACTTTTCGAAATTACAATTTGCATGTAAATTGTCGTTAATTAATTAAAATAAATGAAATTCATTGTTTATTAGAAAACTATCAGGCATGATTTGATATGAACGGGTTTTGATATTGATAACGTCAATATAATATTGTCTACTTTGAGTTAAAATTGTTTTCCATTAAACGCAGTATGTTATTATCCATTTATCTACATATATAGCCTACTGAATCAATGGTTATCATGAATCTCAGGTTTTAATTGCCGACTACACTGAAATGAATGGTTAACACTACTTAAGTATATGTGAGATATACTATGCTTACATTATCACCTTCTTGTCAATATATATATATATATATATATATATATATATATATATATATATATATGAAGGAAAATGAAAAATGAAGTCACAATTGATTAATCACTGGGTGGCGATCAATGTCATGCGTGTCTAGTTCTTATTAATGCAGATCGAATGCTATCGATCATGTTGCAATGTGGCCACCAATCTAGGCGACTCGACATTGCGGACACTACATATTGAGATTTAGATGGTGGTTGGAGGTAGTCAACAGGAAACCCTAGACCCGGGTTTCGATCTGCACTAATAAGGACTAGACACGCATGATAATCATTACCACCCAGTGATCAATCAATTTTGAGTACATCTCAGTCCTACAGGGGATCGGTCACGGCTCGGATAGCTCAGTGGTAACGTCTCTAACTGTGAAGCTGGGTGACACGGGATCGAATCCGCTAGTAAGCACCAGTTCCCTCAAGATTACAGGTACACCTTGCTGACGAGTGCGAAATATGAAGTTTTACATTCTGCAATGATATACTTGGAGCCATCCAATATAAAGTCAAATAAATAACTACATTGAATGTAAATAGATTTTATATTCATAGTTAGCATTATACATAATTCATATTATCACTTTACATTGTGTACACAAAAATCTTTTGTTCTTCATTAATTGAAAGATCAATCTATTTCATGTATAGAAATAAAACTAATTTCTTTCTTGACATTTCTTCTTTTACATTTATAAATTATAATTTATAGACAATGTACAATAAATCATAACTGATTATATCATTAATTAAATCATTTTTCATTATTTCCATGGAAATTAGATATAAAATAATTCACTCCGGTAACCACCCACCACCCCCTCTCTCTCTCTTTCTCTCTTGATTGCATTAATTTACACTACATTATATACAATTTTAAAAAAAAATATTCTCTTTTCAAAAATTCTATTTTCTAATCAATTTCCAACTCTCAATAATTCCCCCCTATAACTTATTGATCTTTCATTGTATTCATTAAATATTTACTCTTTAAATAGTTAATATAATTTTGACCTAAATTTCTCATTTGCATATTGATTACATTTTTAGCTTCAGAAAGGATTTTTAAATTCGTTCGTAAATTTTCCAATTGAATATCATCACAGAAATTGTCTTGATCTTTGTCACTATTACTATGATTATTATAAATAGTTGAAAAATTTAAATCATTGTTTAAATTCATTGATTTAAATAATTCTGGTGACATATTTTCAATGAAAGAAGTTATCATTGATTGATTTAATTCATTGTCTATAATAGATTGTGAATTAGAAATATAAGTAGTATTGTAAATATCATCATATATATCTGATTGTTGATTTAATAAATTGTGTTTATCATTTATATTTATAGTTTCATTATTTTTATAAGAAGAACTTTTTTCATCTGCTGAATGAATAATTTTATGTTCAGATGATGCAGATTTACACAATGATGATGATAATGATGATGAAGAAGATGATGATGATAAAGATGAGTTCAAATGTATAGATGGTGATAAATATGGAAGTAATGTTTGATCCTGTATTAGTTTGTAACCATGATCTTCTCATTTGATTTCTTACTCTTTTAGTTAATAATTTCCTTTTTTGGTTTATTTATTAATTTATTAGTATCATTCATTAAATTAGATAAATCTAATGTTGCTGATTTACAAAATCCTTTATATGATTTATTAGAATTCATGAATAAGTCTTGATTTTCATTAGTATGCTTTAAACATTCTAAATTAATAATACATTGTGTACATTTTGGAGCTGGTGATGGTGGAGGATCTGGTGATATAGGTATAATAGGAATATCATTTTTTTTAATATTAAAATAATTATTTTTATTTATATCCGTTTCAGTAGTTGATCGAGTGATATAATCATAATGTGAATTATTATTATTCTTATTCTTATTATTATCTGTACATAAATAAATACCACTATCGGTTAATGAACTAGAATATGAATAAGATGTAATAGGTATATTATATTTAGAATTATTTATCCATGGATTTGTACGAATTTTTTTATGATATAATCGATTCGATTGAATAATAATATCTGGTGTTGTTTGTATATTGATTAATTGAATTTCAGTAAAACAATGTGGACATTTCCATATAGGTGTGGAATTGAATTGATTTTTTAATTGATTTATATGTTTGTGAATTATTGTTTGTTGATAATGCATTATAATGAAAGATTGTATTGATATTCATTTGATTATTATTATTAGTAGTAGTATTATTGGTTAGTAACATTGTAGTTGATTTTTTTAATAGATTTTTTGATTTTTCTACATTTTCATTGAATGATTGTCTTCTATATTGTAAATTACTACTATTACTATTATTAGTATGCTTTAATGTAATATATTGCTCATGTGATTGCATAGTTTTATAATTGAAATATTTATTCATTAAATAATGAATAAATGAAAAACACCATAAATTTTCTGATTTTTCAGTATTTCTCATTTGATTTTATTGATTGAAAAATGGTAATATTAGAAAAATTTCATTTCTATGAAGAGAAACAAAAAAAGAAAGAAGTATATCGAAAGATAATTAGTTAGAGAAAAGAAAAGAAAAAAATGGAGAGAAAGGAAGAAAGGGAGAGTGTGTGTGTGTGTAAACATGAGAAATTGAATTTTGCGTATTGACTTGTAAAATTAAGGTATCATGTAATAGTGAATCGAAAATTGATAGATTTTCTGAGAATGTAAAGTTTGCTATCAAAGAGGGTTTTGTGGATATTATAGCAATTTTAATAGTTAAGATCATGAGTCACTTGAAGCCAGACCAGGAAGCAGTTTCATCCTAATGTGGGTCTCCTCAACAGTGTGCATTCACAATCACACCTAGTGAGATTGGAACACAAGACCTATAAGTTTCACGCTCGAGCGTTTAACCACTAGACGACTGAGCCGGTATCCAATGGTGTTAGTGTCAAATGAATGCACACTACTTAGAAATCCCACAATAGGATAAACGGCCGTTCATTTTTTCCATCATGGTATGGTTTTCATTAACTCATGAATTCAACAATCAACTTACTATAATACCCACAAAACCCCTCTCCGGTTATAATCGTCATATGCTCACTAGTGACTGACTTCAAGATAGATTTCCTGGAGTTCTAGTGAGAAGCAGTGACCAATGGAATTCAACCGGGTCAGTTGTGAACTAGTAACTTACTGAAGACAATGATGAACGGTGGCGCAACTTCTCGGATTTGTTGAAGATAGATATTACTACCGTTGAATGTCGGTCTAATTGACTAGTGGCAAAGCTTGTTCTTCTTCTATTTCTTCTTATTATTATTATACGTTTCCATGAGTTTCCCAATATATATAAAAACTGTCTTGTGATTGGCTAAAAATTAACCGAAATTTCTTAGTAGTTTTTTACGCTCTGTCAAAACTATATTTCTTGTCCCTGATCCACATGAAATTATAGATACAATCTTTTTGATGATTATTTTATTTTAATTTTTTGGGTTTATTATTTAGTAATATCTTCAAAATTAGTTGTTTTTTTTATTACTTAAGTTAAGTGATGATAATAATCAAAGTTGCATATAGTTTCTATTGTAGAACATGTACTAAATTACAATGAGCAAGGAATAAAAACGTGTTTATCACTTCACTAACTGATAACTAATACCTTGAAATACACCATTTTTGTATTGTTCACTGAAGCGCATATTGGCATAGACTTCATTCTGACACATGTTGTTTATTGAAGCATTATGAAAGTGGCTTAACTACATAAAAGAAATAATAACACTCATATTGTAACTCTTGTCTAAATCCAATCAATAATAAGCCAAACAGTTTTATTTTAAAAATCTGATGGCTTTCAGATGATTGAAAAAATCACTCATTCGATAATGATTATCAAATAGCTGTTGAAGCGTTGATTCAATTACATTTCTGCTAGTTAATACAATTAGTAATAAATCACGTTTTTCTTCACAAAAAAACAACAAACAAATATATCCATCCTAAAACACATTTATCAAGTTAAAACAGTTAATCCCTTTGATAAATTTCGATAATGCAATGAGAAAGCGAAGTTTATCAGAATTATGTAATATATTTACGCAATATATTTCGAACAATCTGATCACACATATACTCTTTAAGACATTTCACTGAGACAAGTTATAAGGTTGATATCAAATCAGCATTTGTAGTGTTATATAAAAGCCTTCAAGGACGTATACTAAGGTTTATTGAAGCCTTAGCCATACGGAAACTGAAGCCACCTTTATGTGTTCTTACTTTTAACTCACACTCGTAATATAGGTTTATTATCCAGAGTGGTTATCACATTGTTTTTGTGTAATTTATTATTAACAGAAGGGTTTTGTGGAGATTGTAGTAATTTGATAGTTGAATTCATGAGTCAATTAAAGCTAGACCACCACGGAAAATCTGGAAGTACTGGACAGCCTTTTCATTCTAGTATGAGACTACTGAGCAGTGAGCATCCACCATTCCGCACATGAGACTCGAATCCAAGACAATCAGTCTCGCGCGTGAACGTTTAACCTCTACACGACTGATCCGGCAGACATCCAATGGTGTTAATGTCAAACTTAAACTGATTAACGAAATTGAGCAACACATCCACCATTGTCATCATTGAGTTACTATCTCACAACTGACCCGGTTGAATTCCAATGGTCACTGCTTCTCATTATAACTCCAGGATATACATTATGAGGCCGGTCATTAGTGAGCATATGTTGATTAATATCAGGAGGGGTTTTCGTGAATATTATAGTAGTTTCAATAGTTGAGACCATGAGTCAATTGAAACTAGACTACCATGGAAAACCTGGAAACACTGGACGGTCGATGTGCTCTATTGTGGGACTTCTCAGCACTGAGCATCTTTGTTACGGTTTACCATTAACCTGTCTAGTTGAACTTTATAATTTTCATATTAAAATGTCTTAACAAGTATATTATATGTGATCAGATTGTTCAAAGTGTATTACGCAAATAGATCACATAATTCTGGGGACCTTCATCTTCTCATCGCATTATCGACATCTATCGAATTCATTCAAATAGTGAAAATCATTCTACGTTTGGTGAAAGTTTAAAAAAATTGTAAAATCCGTTTAATCTCCACAAACCTTCTTCTAATACAAAGTTTGGTGAGACTATAATTTATGGACAACCTTTGAGTGACGCTAAAGTGACCTTGAGAGTGTCTACTTACTTACTATGGCTAAATGAGGGATTTACGGCAGTTTGAAGAATAAGTATCAAGATTTACAGTTGATAGTTAGGGTTAGGAATTAGATTTAGGGTTTTCATCACGAACCGACATTGGCTATAACCCGAAGACTCTATTTAGCCAAATGGGTGATTGAATTTCGCGCCAAAATCCAAGATCTGTTATAGTAAATCTTATTGGTTCGTCCATAAATTATAGTCTCGCCCAAATTTCAATTCACAAACGGAACATACAAAAAATGTAATTAAATTGTCTACATAAAATAAATAATCCAAAAAGGGTTTTATCATTTGTAATTAAGTAAACTGATATCTAATTTAAACACTAATTAAGATTCTCTAATTAAATAAACATCAGAATTCATGTCATAAATAAAATTGTCTCCATAGTAGTAAAGTTTAGTAACAATAATAATAAGCCTATCTATGTTGTCTAAACAGTCTGATATGAAATTCAATCATCAATGAGCTCAATTTATGGTAATGAATAACTTCAGAAACACTATGTTATCGAGTTAAAATTATGACCTACTGACAACCGTCAGTGACTTATCAGCCGATCAAGAAACACTGCTTAGTTATGAAACATTTAGCAATAAATAGTAGTGTAATAACAGAAGAATAACAGCTTGTATTGTAATAATTAAACCTCATAAGTAGAATTATCTCTTTTCGTAAAGGGGAAGTTTACACATTTAAATACATATTAAAAGTCGGGCTAGTGTTATCACCTCATAGAGTCTTCTCTACTAACTAACATTAGTTATAGCACAAAAATGTTAGTGTTCGGCATTAAGAGTTCAAATACAGTTTTGATTTATGTTAACAATTCGGGTCTGGATTTTAAACACGGACTGACATCAATTATGATTCAATGATTTCCCACCTTTCTGTTCACAAACTTGAGGAACTCGGGGTTGAGGTTGAGAGCGAGTGTCATAAAGGATTACCATCCAGCTTCGCTAAACACTTGATTACACAATCGCCGACATCATATATTTTAACATAAAATCTGGCTAAGAAGCAGGTATATTATGTAATTTAGCTGAATCATCGTTTGGAATTCATATTCTGGTATTTCCAATTTCCAGTTTGTTAATAATAACAGAAATGTTATTTATCACTGAACTTTAAACTTCAAGTTAAATGCATGAGGCGTTACCTTAATTCTGATTGGTTAACACAAGATCGTCAGCATACTATGCTTTTATCGTTGTTGATATGCTCAAACACTAGTTCAAACTAAATTTATGCAGGAAAATGTTTTCGTTTAATGAAACTAGTAACTAAGTAACTATCCCATATAGCCAAGTCAATCAGAATATAGAAAATAACTTTTAGAATGTTATGTGAGATTATTTCTGTATGTTACAACATGTAGAAAACTTCGTAAGCATTAGTGATCGATTGAATAACGAGTATGAGAATGCTACAATAAACCGTATTGTTCATGTACAACTCATTACATATGATGGCTCATATCCCTATGTTGCCAATACATCAGTGAATTTATTATGAAAGGTTTTGTGGTAGGCAGTTAATTTTCTATACATTTACCTACGACTAAAACAACGATCCAGAATCTATAGTAAAGGTCTCCAATATTAGAATAAGTTAACTGATAATTAAGTCTTTGGAAACTGATTAGCCCCGTAAAACCACTTTCCTCTAACACATCACATTACAGAACTTGTGAATGTTCTCGATTTTGTACAGGTTCTCTTTTCTTATTAGTTGAAGTATAATGATAAAATCACTAAGTTATTCCCGTTGTGTTTACTACAAATTTATAAAGCTTCATGGACTATTACGTAGATATTGATTTGACAGAAAAACAAATGAAAATCAGTAGACTCCATAACATTTAGACTCTAATGAAATTTCGTAACTAGTAAACGATAATTACCTAGATTGATTCACTGAAATTAAAATTGTATGAC